ACAGTCGCGGCCACACTGCGACTGCGTGGCCTTTGCCGCCACCGCAGCAGCCAGCCTCCTCCTCTTCCTCGCGGCTGTCCGCAGAAGAGAAAAGAAAAACTTAAATGGGAAATTGAAAACGCGCAGAAAACGTTTCAGACACAAAATCGTGATTGCCTTCGTTTTGGCCGCTAGACATTTATTTTTTTTCGCTTTTTTTGTTTACTCTGGAAATGCTCTACATGCTCCCCACAGGGTGGTGGGTCGCCAAAGCTACATCGGGTGGGGGAGGGGGAGAGAGAGAGACTATGTTTACTTCTTATGTAAAACGACATTCCAGGGAAAGCTGCAAATGTGACAAGGCGACGATCGAACCAACGAGTAAGGGCAGGAATTGGAGAGAGATCCGTTTGTGGGGACCAGGGAGAATAAAGGATGCTCTAAGGGATCGGTATAGGAAACACGCACTTGCCATAGGGCGCCACTCCACAGTGCACAGTGCATCCTCTTGCATCCTCTTGCATCCTCTCGCATCCTCTTGGCAAACGCATCCAAATCCATCGTAAGACTGATTGATTCATTGGCAGGAGGAAAAATGAAAGCCACAGATGACAAACTTCTGCAATAAGCTGGAAAAACTCTCTCGCTTGAGACGCTCATCTGCATCTTGGCCTGGAGCGGAGCGGAGAGGAGTGGAGTGGAGCGAAACACGAGGCCGCCTGTAAATGATAATAAATATGGAAAAGACGTGAAAACGATTGCCGCGATTTTCCCACCAACGCTTTAGATGGTGTCTGTCCGCTGTCTGCTGTCCTCTCCTGCTTTTTGGACACCGCCTCCTTCTGGCCGTGGTCCGGTGGTGGTGGTGGTGGTGGTGGTGGTGGCTACCATCCATCCATCCATCCGTCTTAAGTAGAGTGAAAGTGTTGCGTTTTGGTTTTCAAAAACTGTGGAGACTCGATCTGAGCTGAGCTTTTAGTTTATGTTATTGTTGCTATTGCTGTTGCTATTGCTGGTGCTGTTGCTGTGTTGCATTTGTGGCAAACGTTGCTTTTGTTGCCCGGCGGACACATATCCTTGTGTTCAATCAAACCCAAAAGCGACGTCAACGCGCAACGCGACTCGTAGAGCTCTCTGGTACTGGGGGGGAGTTTGGCGAATTGTGGCCTGGCGTCGGAGTCAAGTGTTTTGTAGCTTGAAGGTTGCTTTTTTTTGTCTAACTCCCACTGCAAGGCAAAGACACAGGCCGCCCGCCGACAGACCCCACTCTCCTCTGTGTGTGTGTGTGTGTGTGGCAACATGCGGCAAACATTTTTAGCGCTTGTAGTTGCCATGAATTTTTATGCAAATGAAAAATGTTTCTTGCGATTTTCCCCTCCTGCGCTCAGTGCTGCTGATCCGCTGATTCCGCCGATCCGCCGATCTGCCGCTGTGGCCATTACTGTGATGCAATTGCCGCAAGTAACAATAATCTTGATGTATGATTTTTTTCTCCTTAGTCTTTAGTTTTTTTTTCTGTTGTTGTTGTTGTTGTTGCTGTTGCTGTCGCTGTTGCCGTTGTTTCGTCTCTCGTATTATTAGAAAAGGCAAAACGTTCAAAAATAAAGAGGAAATCTTGTTGCGCCTATCGTGTTGTTGGCACATTTTCGCGTTACCCCGTTTTTTCCCTGGTTGTTTTTGTTTTTTTTTTTTGTGTGCCTCCTCTAAGTTTTCTGTTTGATCTCATAACCGCCGGCGATGCTGCCACAGCAACAAAAACAATGGACGAAGCATCATAAACTTTTAACGCTGTCCATTTCGAAATAATCAATAATTTTTGGCCATCGAAGGCAATTTATTATTGTTTTGTTGTTGTTGTTGTTTTGGGCCAAAAGACAGACTCTTTTTTGTTTTTGTTGTTTTTGTGCCTTGAAGCCAATGGGAATGAGAGGAGCAAATAAATTAACACTTCCTTAAACGATAAACACTAAGAGTAGTCTCCCCTCCCACCCCCTGTATCCCCTTATCTCGCACTCGAAAGTAGATGCCACACTATGGAATGGATATATCTTGGGGGGAAGTACGAGAGAAATGCATTTGGAAATCGAAATGAAATGAAATGGCCAATGGATAGATAGAGGCCAGACCAGAGTCCGAGTCCGAGTCCCCGAGTCTGTGGTGTTCGAGTGCGGGGGCGTCACGAGTTTGCTTTTCGTTTCGTTTATTAATTTTAATTGTGACGGGGTGGCAACGCCCGGCAGGCTAACGGCAACAAATTGCATTCGCATTTACAGCAGGAGGTTAGGTAGGGTGTGCTGGAGAGAGGAAGAGCTAGAGAGTGTGAGACAAGTAGAGCCTTGATCTTGTGTTGCATCTTAGCTGAAAATGTTTATCCGTGAGATCTATACAGATGGAGCATCATTGTTAATTAAATTGGAAATGATTTAATTGTTTATTGTATTTACTTAGTTATTTTTAAACATTTATTGGACTTTTCGTTTTGTTTTGGAAAAGGTAGATCGGTGGAAATATAAATACAAAATTTAAACAGTAAAAATATCCCATAGAAATGATCAGCATTAAAGGGTAACTATAGGCCCAAATACAGGATCCATCGGAATTTAAATATTTGATGTTGATAGATCTACAAACACAAAAAACAATAATTAAATGTAAATTGTGTATGTTCTAAAAGGATTAAATCCTTGTGATCAGTTAATCAGTAGGTGCCAAAATGCAATCAGAAGTTGGATAAATGATCAGAAAGAAGATCATAAGAAGAAGATTAAATAAAACAAAAGAATTCATAGCCGGAACAAATCTAAAATAAATGAGTATATGGAAATGGAAATATATATTTTTTTTTTTTTGCCTTGTTTGAGCTTTAAGAACATCTCCACTGATGTCTCCACTGGGTTCTTTTTCAAGGTTTTTTTTTGTTCATATCTTTGAATCTCTGACCTTCCCACAGGCCGCAGTTGGTGCTGCTGCTGCAGCCGCCGCCTTTATGGCATATGTGCAATGCATATTGTGGGGGCGTTCAGTGCCATTGACAGTGCCAGTGGCCAAATGGCATGTCATCGGTTCCATTGCCCCATCGTCGATTTATGACGCCCGCCGCCATCTGCTTGGCCCCGAAATGAAGTGCAGCAGAAGTGCAACACTGCAGAGACTCCTCTGCATTTGTCTGTGTGTGTGTGCTGTGGGCCCTGCCCTGCCCTGCCCAGCCATCTCTCATATTTGTGTTTATCTAGGCCCCGATTCCAATTTGGCCACTGTTTGGGCGAAATTTATGAGTCAGGGCGTTGCTGCCAAATGGCCGAATGGCAAAATGAGAAAATCAAATGGGAAATCTGTTTGTGGGTGCTTGTGTGTGTGTGTGTGTGTGCCACAGATGATAACCGAAAGGCAAATAAAAAGCGGAGAATGTGGCAGTGGCAGTGCATTCAAGTGGCAAACAACAAATGGTTGCACTTGCAGATGGAGATTGAGTGCGATTCCCAGTGATGCCACACAAACAGACAAACAAATGAAGCCCCCCCTCCCCCCTCCAAAGATTAATCGCTGGACAAATTTGCGATGTGAAAGTGCGAGTGAGAGGGAGCGGTAGGGAGGAGCGGCAGGCAGGAGCAGCTGTGGCAGCAGAGAGAAAGGGGGGGAAAGGCGGACTTGCAAGCTGGCTGGCTGGCCTCGTCGCCTATTCCCACTAATTGTCCTTGACGATGGAGCATCCCACATGGCATTTTGTCTTTGGGGCGCAAATTGCTGCCGGGTGGTAGTGGTACAGCCGCAGGGGCAGGCACAAACTGCTGGCTGCTGGCTGCTGGCTGCAAGCAACGGAAAGTGAAAACTTGAAAAATTGATTATGCAACTGCAGCAAGGACGTTTGTGGCCAAGAGGCATGCCTGCGCCACAGCCACACAGCCACACAGCCGGAGCCTGGGCAACGGAGGTCGCCACACACTTGGTCTGATTTTGCAGCCACCACACCACACCACACCTCACCTCACCTCTCTCCCGCTCTCTATCTATGTAGGTATATCTTTGCCCCTCTCTGCTATTGCAATTTTGAGGCATGCTACTAGACACACATACACGCTGCCTCGGGGGCGTTGCTGCTGCTGTTGCTATTGCTGTTGCATGGCGTTTGTCGTTTGTTGTTTGTCGTTTGTTTTTGCCCATTTATTTAGAGGTTAAGATGCAAGTAGGAAGCGTTTTGGCGGAGGCGCGCATTTAATTTACGGGCACGATGCGGCACCAAAGAAAGAGCCAGCATGCTGTGTGTGTGGCAGGCTTCCACCTCCTCCTCTGGCTTTTATACCCTCTCTGAAGACGGGGGCAGAATATGCTGCATGCCCCATGCCACATGCAACTCTCTTAACGAGAGTTTTGTGATAGCTTGTGTGAAGAGTGTATTCCCATCTTCGGTTCCTTCTTTGCTGCTGGGTGCTGTGCATTTTTAATTAAGTATACGCCGTGTTAGCGATGCCGCCTGGCCATATAAGGAGCGCTGCAGCAGCAGCAGGCGGGGGCAGGCAGGCAGACAGGCAGCAAGTTGCGCCGGAGAATCGATGAAGCTCTCGCCGTGGCATGACCTCACCACGCGAGAGGTCACACAGACGAGACGAGATGGCAAAAATAAAAAAAAATGAAAAAAACAAATCTTAATTCGGTTTAATTACCTCGACGCATTCGAATGTGGCCGAAATGCCAAGCGAGCCAAGGCAATCGGAGAGGTAGAGTGGCTGTAGCTGTGTCTCCCTGGTGGCCACCCAAAATGCCATCACAACAACAGCAACGACAACAACAACAACAACAACGAAATGCCTACCGAGTTCGTTGGAAAAATGCGAGCAAGTTTGATGCCCCAAAATGGAGCAGAGCATCTCGCAGCTGGTTTTTGTTTGGCAGTGATTAGCCTTATTTGTAGCTTGTAGTAGTAGCTCCCTCCTCCCCTCCTCCCCTCCTCCCCGCCCCCTTGCCTGTTTTGCACCGCACTGACCATCAAAACTCTCTGCCGCCCCCCATGGCACATTTTGCAGGTGACATTGACGATTGCATTGTGACGCCAACGGTTCAGGGACAGTTCACGCCGCTGCCGGAGGCACTATGCGATGTGATCATGGACCTCACCGCCGAGGGACAATCGGCCACCGTGGAGCATGTGCGCGGCAAGTTGGGCGCCCGTTTCCCGCACATGACGACACCAGCGACGGAGGTCATCTACGATACGCTGGCACAACTGATGCAGGAGCAAAAGATCTACCAGACATCCAAGGGATACTTTATCTTTACGCCCGAGTGAGTGTCTGTCCTTTCACGTTTCACGTTTAGCTGAACCGCCAACTAATTCTGATACTCCTGACTCCTCCTTCCCGCCCTAAAAACCCTAGACGTCGTCGTAGTCGTTCCCGTCCGCGCAGCAATCACCATCAGATGAATGGCAGCCTGGCCTACGCCCAGCTGGAGGAGGAGGAGCAGCAGCACAGCGACAGTGTGGTGCCCCAAGAGGCACGCACCATGCTCATGTCCAACTCGGAGGCACTGCACTCGCTCTACGGTGAGATATCGACGGAGCGGGACGGCGACCTAACACACCAGTGCATCCAAACGAATCTGGCGGATGTGATCTGCGGAGGTAAGACTCCATTCATCTATCTGTCAGTGTCCATTGCCCATCAATCAGTTCAATCAATCCCGCACAATTATTCAGGCAATCCCAACGACAAGATCATCTATCCAAGGGCGGCCAAGCGACGCAGTGCGTCATTTCCGACGCCGCGCAGCTTGGAACGGCGGCACAGTTTGCGGCTCTTTGGTTCATCGAAGCGCCTGCAACGCTGCGCCTCCACACGCAGTCTGTCCAAGACGTACGCCCAAACGCTGAATACCACGGACAGCAGCAGCTCGGAATACCAAAGCACAGATTCGTCATCACCCAGTGAGTAGCAAACCATCGAATACAACAACCCACCCACTGCGAAGTAGCTCTAACCCGATCCAACCCGATCCCATTGATTCACAGAAAAAGGATCTTTGCTCTCCCGGCTGTTCCGACGCAGTGGCAGGGCAAAGCAGCGTCAGATTGAGACATATTCCGCACAGTTCCCGCCCGCAGAGTGGTTCAATACGCGAGCCGTGCATCTGCATAGCGTGGGCACCCAAACGGCCGAGCATGTAAGACATACCGGATAATATTCCTTGGGTTGGTAGCACACTAATGATATATTCGCTGTCCCCTCTGTTTAGGACATGCCTGTGGCCCATACGCTGTCCAATTCGACCTTCTACGATGGCTCGGAGCTGAGCCAACGTTCATCGACGCTGCCCCGTCGCCATCGCCGTCACATGTCCAGCGAATCGACCTTCCTGATATCGTCGCGGGACTGCTCGCCCATCCGCCGCCGCTCGCCGGTGTATTGCAGCGGCTCGCTACCTCGCTCCACGCAGTCCATACCAGCCACCACAGTCACGACGACAGCCTCCAAGATGAATCACTCCTCGGCCACGCTCTCGCGCCTTGGCCACACAATGGGGCACACGCACACGCCCACGCCCACGCACACAGCACCCAAGACAGCACAAAAGTCGGTGATTGGGAAGCACATCTTCGAGAGTTCGCCCTCGCGCTCTGCCACACTGAAGGCGGCGGCGGCCAAGCGCCAGACGGACGGACTGATCATCAATAGCTGCACGGACAACAAGGCGACGTACCGGAGTCTGCAGAGCAGCGGACCATCCAGCCTGGAGTCGTGCAAGACGTCCTCGATGTTTGCGAGTGGCCCCTCGAGCATCGACAGCATCGGCAAGGTCTCGTTCAGCCAGAAGACCAGCGGCCACTCTAGTCTCGATTCGCAGTGTTCCACCAACACCGCTGTGGTGGCACCATCAACGGGCAGCAGTGGCATCGGCGGCGGCGGCAGTGTCGGCAGCACCCGTTCCATTCTGCTGCTGAATGGCTCGCCCAGGGGCACGCCGCGTCACCAGGCGATGCGTGCCCGGGTGGCCGAGGCCCAGGCCCAGCGGCAGAGGGCCAGCACACCCAATCGCATACTGGAGGAGCTGAGCTACCCCCACATCCAAGCGCACACCCACAACGGAGGAGGAGGAGGAGGAGGCGTGGGTGTGGGTGTGCCCAACTCGAGTAGCAACAACTCGATAACGCTGCAGGTGACCACCACATCGAGCGGCGGAGGCCAGAGCATACCCAGCACCAAGATCTTTGTGCAGAACTCGCCAGTGAGGAGTGTGATCACCCTGGAGAACGGCAAGATGCTGGAGAACTCGAACGTGTTCATTATCAACAACGAAACGATGACGAACGAGAGAGGGGAGATCATCAAGAAGACGCTGTCCAAGCAGACCTCGTCCCCGGCTGCAGCTGCTCCGACAACAACTGCACCGGCGGCCACCTCCACGCCAGTCCGGATAACGCAACAGCATCAGCAGCAACAGCAGCAGCAGCAGGAGTCGGTGTCCAATGATCAGCCCCTCAGCGAGACGGAGGCCAACTCGGAGACGTGTGACTCCATTTCCTTCATCAGCGAGAGCTCGCCGGACAACACGTGCCCCGTCGATATGCCAGAGATCCCGGAGATACCGATCTACGATGGTGGCAAGTACGCCAAGAACACCAACAATGATGCCACAATGAACAACAGCCGCAAGCTCTGCCTGCAGCTGGCGAACGGGATTGCCTACAAGAACAATGTCCTGAAGAACGAGTCGCAGCCGAACTCGCCCAGCGCCGAGCAGCAGCAGCAGCAGCCCCTGAAGCTGGCGGCCCTGGCAAAACAGGACTTTGAGATTGCCGGATCCGTGGGTAATTTGCACTTTTACGAGAAGAGCTCCAAGGATCTGGCACCGGCGCAGAGCAACCACAATCTGATGATGAACAGCAGCACCGATCTGAAGCATCTGTGCTACGAGTCCGTGTGCCAGCTGCAGAAGTGCTCAATGAACGGCGATGAGCTGGCGCTGGCCCACTTGCTGCGCAAGTCGAACAATCCGAATCCGCTGGGCAGCGAGCCCAATCTGACGCTGAAGGATCTGACCAATGACAAGGCCATGGACAAGGAGGGCATTGACCGTCGTCTGAGTCTGACCAAAGAGTCCCTGGAGCAGGGCATGGGCAGTGTCTTGGCTGGCGGCAACGAGGAGCTCTACAACTTTCCCAGCCTCACCGACTTGTCCTTCAACTTTACCTCGCTGGCGGCACGAAAGATTCTGCAAGGCGTCAGCCTCAACAGCATCGACACGCTGGTGGAGCTGAATATGGCAGCGGCGGCGGCTGCGGCAGCCGCAAACAATGCCAAGGAGAAGCAGCAAAACAACCAAACAGCGGCGGCCGCAACGGCAGTCTCGGTCTGCACCGACTTTGGGATGGTCTAGACTCTAAACTCTAGACTCTAGAGGGAGCATCCATCCCCCTCTTAGTATAATCAAACGAAAAATCATAGCATCTACGAGATAGAAGGAGAGAAGCAGATAGCAACAAAAGAACTTTGTGTAATTTATTACGATTGATTTCCACCCCCCCCTTTGGCGATGAATTTGATAGCTGCAATTTGTAAGTATGTTTTTTTCTGTTTTAGGGTTTAATCGGATGCAACTTTTATTTACAGTGCCAAAATAAGTTTAGTTTAATTTTAATTCGTATTATTTCATGCCAGTTCGTACGTTGCCCTTCGATGAAGAAGAACCGCCAAGCGGCTTCAGGGGCGTGGGGCAACGGGCAAATCCCAATACCAATCCCATGCGTTATGCTAAGATATATAAGTACAACGTACACGCAGAATATTACGTTCGATGCTTTAATCTGTTTTGTACATTTATCCAACGCAATGCAATACATATACTAACGACAACAGCCCCCAAATGCAATCCTCTTACCTATACATATTACGATATATACCATACACACAAAACAAAACGAGAAATACAGAAATGTTATACTACGACCATAGAATTTAGCACCTTAACGGAGAGATACAATAATTTTGTACAAGGCCTTAACTAGTAAAGTCAGCAATAATACAACATAAGTTGAAATCACTAATAAAATAAACATATGAATGCCGTCGTTTTACGCTAGAGTGCGAAGTTGTTGCTGGCGTTGCCAGACTTCAGTGCGAAGTTGTCGCTGGCGCTGCCAGACTCGAGCGCCAAGTTTTTGCTGGTGTTGCCAGACTCGAGCGCGGAGTTTTTGCTGGCGCTGCCAGACTCGAGCGCGGAGTTTGTGCTGGCGCTGCCAGACTCGAGCGCGGAGTTTTTGCTGGCGCTGCCAGACTCGAGCGATTAGTAGTTGCTGAGGGCTGCCACACCATGATATTTTGGCAGCCCCCTGCAAAGCAAAAAAGAAGAGAAAAGTATTTATATCTGACAAAAGCTGTTTGCTATGAAACTAGCAACGACGCTTTTTTTTTGATTGCACCTTGGCACCATCACTCGGCCAGCTAATGTTTAGCGGCAAGTTTTGGAACTAATTTATTTCTACATGGTTTCATTTTTGCTACATTTGGTAATTGGATATTAGCCAAGTTTTTAACCCAAATTAACCAAAAAAATGCTAAACGTATTTTTTTTGTTTTTATGGTGTACGTTTTTTTTGCAGTATTTTTTTCTGTTTTTCAAGTAAAATTTTTGTAATTTTCATATGGTATTTTTTCAACATTTAATAGGGGAAAAAACAACAAAAATTAAAAGCTCTTCTTAAATTTTTACCAGTTAAATATTTAATTAATGCCAGCTAAATTTAAAAAAAAATCAAAACAATTTTAAGATGTAATTTTTACTGTAAAACTGTGGAAAAAAAGATTTGCTTAAGAAAAAAAAAAAAGAAAGACCGTGCACGCTTGAATTTTTGAATTTGAATTTTTATGCGCTCCATAAACGACGTTAAGGCTCCCAGGAGACGAGGTCGATCAGGTAGGATCAGGATTAGAAGCTGTTGATGAGACGGCCGCCACTGTAGGGTGCGGACATTGTAATTCTCTTCCAATTAAATTACACTTTTTAAAGTTGCCTTCGCCCCGCAAAATGAAACACTGGTAATTCGTATAAATGTATTTATTGGCGGTGCTTTCAAATTATAGTAATAATAAGGGTACTAAAACGTACTACGCCCTACAACGAAAGGTTCTAATTATTATAGCTGATAGTAGTTTGTTGCGAGAAATGACGGAGCGGAGCAGCTATGGGCAAACATAAAAATGAATTTAACTTTATTTGCTTACTTTCTTCCATTGGCTAATTACATGATCAAAGAGATTTAAATACCAGAGAACTTTAACTAAAAATGTGGAATTGGTTTATTGGTAGCAGCATGTCCATAATCGATCAGTCTCCGACACAGAACGGGTTCTCCTACCCACACACCCACCACTTAGACGTCGTCGTGTGTCTCTATTTACTTCTTGTTGCTTATCTTATCGCGAATATTTAGCGCCTGCTGCTACTTTCTGCTTTCTGCTACACATAAATATTTATCTACAGCTGTTTGCCTGGCACTATACAATTAAATCCTGTCCACCGCCAAGCTATGCGTTTCATATCGAAGCAACGAGCGGTTTACAAATGTCTCTTAAATTTACGTAATACAAACTAAATTTAGACCTTAACTAAATTAATAACGAATTGGTAGTCTCGCCATACAGCGCGAACCTTGCCCTCCCCTCCCCATCTCATCCCCTTTTAATTTGGCAGCATCTCCGCCAGCTGGCTCGTCAGGCTGGGCGGCAGTTTGTCGGGGAACTTGATGTCAAAGGCAACTATCAGATCACCGCGTCGCGACGGTTCCTTGGGGAAGGGCAGGCCGCGGCCATTGATACGTCGTGTGGTGGTGGGTTTGATGATTTCGTTGGCTGGATTCACAGGGATGCGATCGCCTTGTAGTGTTGGTACGCTCACTGCCGCGCCACACAGGGCCTGCTTGAGGCTGACCTGTGCGGTGTATCGCAGATCGCTGCCCTCGCGCTTGAACTGGCCGTGTGGCTTGTCGCGTATGATGAAAATGATGTCTGCTGGCACTTTGTTGGGCGCCTGGTCGCCCTCATTGGGGAAGGTGATCTTGGTGCCCGCCTTCCAGCCCGGCTTGACTGTGATGCTGAGTACCTTCTCCTCCTTGCGCGAGTTGCCCGTCTGCGTCATGGACATGCGCGAGATCTTCATCTTCTTGGTGCAGCCTCTGTCGACCTCCTCGAGCGTCACATACAGGTCGTGCTCAATGGGTGGATCCTGCTGCTGCTGGCGCTTCCTACTCGGCGCCTGGGCATTGAATGACTGGGAGCGGAAGGCACCGGAATTGGGATTGAAGCCCCCAAACATATCTTCGGCGCCCATGTTCAGGAAGACTTCGTTTGTATTGCCGCCAGGGACGCCACTGACGCCACCAAACATGTTGTCGCCGCCTCCAAAGAACACGCCAAACGGATCCGCTGCGCCAAAGAACTGCGCGAACGTGGCACGTGGATCGCCATGGAACTGATACTCGTAGCCGCCGCCAGGCTGGCTCTTGCCATCTGGTCCGGGCATGCCGCCCTTCAGCCCCTCCTCGCCATACTGGTCGAAGATGTCGCGCTTCTTCTTGTCCGACAGCACCTCGTACGCCTCGGCAATCTCCTTGAAGCGCTCCTCCGCCTGCGGGCTCTTGTTCTTGTCCGGATGATATTTCAGTGCCAATTTGCGATACGCCTTTTTGATTTCATCGTCATTGGCCTTCTTGCCAATGCCCAGAATCTTGTAGAAGTCTTTGGCCATCTTGCTCAGTCTCGCTCAGCTGAAAGCAAACGCAAGAGAATACACAGAGAATTATAGTACATGTGTACCAGTAGTACTGATTACCGATTGTTTTTTTTTTCTTTTTCAACGCCACTCGTATAATGGAATTTGCTAGAAGCCCAGAGAGTTGTGCAACGACAGCCCCATCCCCAGCCATTCTGATGTGCTGATGTGTTGTCATTTTTCCCCCTCACGAGTGACGTCCTCCCGCCCCTGCACCCCTTTTGCATGTGTCCAATATATAATATTCTCCCACACACAACACACGCACAGCCACACACATTGCCGTGCTAATATGCTAATTTCGAGTGGCAATTTCTTCACAAAACTCACCTAAAATGCTGTTTTTGCTGTTTGCTAAAACTATTTTTCACTTTTCACTTCAAATTTTCGTTTCTACGTATTTTATTTATATTCAATCTGAGCAGGTTTAGATGTTCTTGAAATAATAGATGACGTTCTCAATCAATTTTCTTTTTTTTCTCTCGTTTGCTGTGTTAGCACACACTTGTCGTTTCCTCGTTGTAAAATTTTTTCTATGTTTGTCGCCCGAAAGTTGCACGCCTTTATATAGATTTTGGTCGGTCTTCGTCGAAATTTCTCGATGTTTCTCGCTGTTTAGAGTTGCTTCGTAAAGACAGGGTTGCTTCGACCAATACCATTTAAATACCATAGTTTTTATCAATAAAATATATCGCCTGACCCACAGAAATATACCCAAATATACCATGCCATTATCAAAATATACCGTAAATATACTGACGGACACTACCATACGTTGATATTCCTCGATATTGATATTCCGTTTAATATTACCAGCTAGCTGGGACTCTCAGCCCTAAACAAATAATTTTATCCGATAGATACATACATTTTTTAAGAGATTGGCAAGTTTTCAGAAGTCCTTTTTATTGGGTTATTTACATATTAAGGTTCAAACAAAAACGGCCAAAGCATAAAACGTAAATGTTGACTAAATGTGACGTCAATGTTGCTGGTCAACCAAGTATCTTCTATGCGTATGTACTTTTGTATACCTTATTTCTTTCAATGGGTGTGAAAAGTTTTGTTCCAAGCTCCAGTGAAACATTATTTATGATTTTATCCTAGATTGACATGTTTTTTACCTCTTAATGCACATGTTTGTGTGTCATAAATACATTCATCCCGGTTCTGATACCTATTATTGGTAGTCGTGAGCTGCAAAAATTTGTTAAAATCTTTAGAACAGAGACTGAGTAGTTTCTGCATTAATTGGAGCCTTACAAACAATATCTCAAGTCCATAATATCAATTTTCCCAAGGTATGCAGATTGTTGCTCATTCCGTGCCAAAGTTGCACAACAGTGCTGCTAATTCATTTCCCCATGTTGCTGAAATTTTTCCCATACAAATTAAATGTATCATACGGTTTGATGTTTATTCTACGTATGGGCTTTGGTATACCTTATTTCCTTTAATTGATGTTAAATTTGTTGTCTCAGGCTGCTTTGAAACATTAATATTGCATTTTCGTAAGATTGAGTTATTTTTTACCTATCCATGCATATGTTTTGTGTTTCATATATACATTTATCCCGGTTCTGATACCTATTTCGTTGATGTCTTTTAATAAGAGACTGAGTAATTTCATTACTTGGAGCCTGAAATTACAAACAATATCTCAAGTCCATAATATCCATTTTCCAAAGATATTCAGATTTCGTGCCAAAGTTGCACAACAATGCTGCTAATTCATTTCCCCATGTTGCTGAAATTTTTCCCATACAAATCAAATCAGCTGAGCTGAGAGAGAAAACAGAGAGAGAGAAAATATTTGAGGAAATAATTATTCTCTTCTTATTCTGCTTTGATTCTTTTTCGTGCATTTTTGCAGGCTTTTTACCAACAACATTAGAAAGTAAAAAATCCTCTCTTTTTCTCTCTCACAACGTATATTTTCTCTCTTCTTAGTATTTATAAAAATTTTAGTATTTTAGTTTTAGTATTTTATGCTAGTGCTGGTTAGTGTAAACATACAACAACAAAAATACCATGCAAATATTAAATAAAATATATAAATATATATATAAATAAATAAATATTTTATTAAATAAAATATGGGAATGCTTTCACGAATTGAGAGCAAATTTTGAAAACTCTCCACTGGGCAGAAACCCCCGGCGTGCAACCTCTCCACGAATTGAGAGCGAAAAATGTTAGTATTTTTGGTGCGCTAAATTGAGTTTGGCGGTCAATTTGAAATGTGTCTTAATATTTGGAAAAATAACTTGATTTGTTTTGTCGAGTGACCTCAGAAACCGAGAACCAGTAACCAGTAAATACAAAAAAAAAAAAATTAATACTTAATACTTTTTTTTAGCCCTTTGATAGTTATTTAATTTCGATAGCACGACTATCGTCGACTGTAATATGTCCACACTTAGGACGGGTAGCAAACATACGATAGCACCAGTGCTGTAAAGTGTTAACTGGTGAGTGTTGATACGATAGTTCTAAGCGCCTAATTCAAATTCAAACCATTTAGATCAGCTGTTTTAATTTTTTGTTTGAAATTTTTTAAACAAAAATTTTTTTAGACGGTATTGTAAGGTAGATAGTGGAATTTTTATAAATTTTTTCTTATTTTTTCTTATTTTTCTTACATCTTGGCACCTTTTCCTTGTCCAAATTTTTACCAATTTGCTTTTGAACGAAGTCCCAACTCTATTTTCATTTATCTACAAGTTTGTCCTCTGCTTCATTATTGCTCGAAAAATTTTATTAAGTGCTTGAAGTTTGCTTAAAATAAACACGAAAAACTCTCCCGGAAGTGAAGTAGAACCTGTCGCTCACTTGGCATCCGCTCCGCTCCCTTTTGCTTGTGGACGAACTTGTTGAAAATATTCCGTGCTTCTTTGACACTTTAGCAAAGCCACCCCCTGCCACCTTGTACAGCCATTTTCTAATGTCTCTGTTCGGAAAATTTGTCGTTTGCACTGGGCAAATGTTTATTTATGTATTTCTTTCGCTGTTAACACCCATGCCACCCATTCCACCCATTCCACCCATTCCACCCCTTCCTGCGGGAGGTATAGAGCTGAGGTGTGAAAATGGCGCCGACTTTAACCCTGACAAATATTTCCTGTGGTAAACTTTTTGCTGGGTTTTTACTTTTGTTTAATTTGTTTTGGTTTTTGTATTTTATCGCTCAATTAACTGACTGCGAGAAGGTGAGGTGAGGGCGAGGCAAGTGATAAAACCGAGGGGACAACGTCGCAAATAATATCTGCCATTCAATGATTCCATTCCGAGATGCCGTTGCCAGGGGGTTATGGGCTATAAAAAGTCAGATCGACGCATACACACGGTTATCGCTCATACATTTCCATTCATTAGATAGGGACAGGGACAGGGACAGGAACAGCGACAGGGACAGATGACAGTGGATGGACAATAACTATGCCCATGGCCACGCCACGCCCCATCCAGGCAATTTGTAACGCCTTTTGCTGTCATCTCCTGTCGGAACGGAATGGTAACCATAAAAGTCTCTCTCCCCCAGTCTCCAATATTCGGCAAATTGTCTCCGTTTACTTTGCCTGATAATGTCTCAATAAAATCTGTTCGGTCGGCTAGATACAAGATATAGTAAGGATATATACATAGGTGTTTGCGTGTGTGAGTGTGTGTGTGTGTGTCTGTGTGTGTGTCTGTGTGTGTAGGTGTCTGTTATGAGCCTTTTATCTGAAATATCCCATGTTTAGCTCATGTTTGGCCCAACTATTTTGTAATTACAAAAGCTGTAAACTTTAATGATATTTTTAGCTTAGCTTCTGCGAAATCCCAGCATAGAGTTGAGCCAAATTGAAGGACAGGACATATTCCAGTGAATTCTAACTGTCTGCCCCGTCAGTTCCATGAAAGAGTTTTCCATTCGTTTATGATTACACCATCATCTGGTCTTAATTGCTGCTCAGTGCAGCTTTACATTAGCCGCAGCAGCCGCAGCATATTTGACATCATTTTAATAGGGGCACTCTTATTGCCTAGACAATTTTTACTATAAGTGGGAAATATTCATAGGTACTTTTAAATTTTTATTTACACTGCCCCTGTCTCCTGCATGTAACTTTGTCATTTGCATAATCGTATGGCTCTCTTTCTTGCTCTTTTTCTTGTAAACTTCTTACTCAGAAAATTGTTGCTCTTGGAAATTTTAGTTACTTAACAAGCGACTCTGGAGGAAAGGTACTTTTGGCTTAGTTTCTCTTGAGGCTCCCTCTTAAAGAAAGAATCTGTGTGCGCGCTGCGCACTGTTCGCGTCTTTAACTTTTCAGAAAGGAGAAATATGGAATGCATCTCAAGGCGAAAATTGTTTGCTGCAGTTTTCTTATGTCGCTGCTGTAATAAATAAAGTTTTAATTGCCCATTGATTTTTCGTGGAGGGACAGGACAGGACAGCAATCTTGGCATTCATAGATCATAATTTAAGATTTAAGATTCAATTAACTATTTGCGATACGAGTATGATATGGCTAGGAATTATGCCAATTAAGTGGGATATCGATTCCTTCGTTCGACCTCATCAAAATGCAAGTCAGAGCAGCAGCTCTAGAGTTCGTGTCTAGACAACGCACGAAGAGTTGGCCCCATAATTGCCTTGCCCCTGATAAAAGTTGAGTGATTTGGTGCAGGTTGTGCCCCTTGCCACAGCTACGTGACTGGGAGGAACCCTTCACAGTTAATCGAAACTCATAAATATTAAGATAATCAATTTATGGAGCTCGACACCTAATTTGTAGGCAAACAATGCGACAAATTCGGTTTTCAATTTCCATGCTGAGTTGAGTGTGTGAAATTTTCAACAACAAGCGTATCGGTATTAAATTCCGTTTTCCATGCGACAGACAAACAAATGGAAAATCTCGAACACTCTTTTGTCCTTGTCGTTCCGGTTAGGGCTGTCTTTCCTTCTAATTTCCTTTTATCGAATTTACGATTTGTTGGTCATGTCATCAGCTTGAAAACGACGACGACGACGACGACTACGACAAGGATACAAGAGTCTTCCAGGGGAGGGGGAAGTGGTGGGGTGGTTCGTACGAAATTTGTTTTTCCCTTTTGTGTCCATATTTTTTGCTGTTTGCTGCTGTTGGGTTGGTGGTTGGTGTTTTCTTGTTGCTGGTTGCTGCATCAATCTTTGATTTACAAATTATTTTGCATTCCACACAAACGATTTGTGTGTTTTATAGTGGCATGATTCCCATGAAATGGTTTTTTGTTTTATTTTGGGTCTCCTGGGACAAATTATCGCACAGAACGAGCAACAAGAACGTGTGGCAAAAATCTAGGTCTTTCGCTTAAAGAGCAATCACTGGAAATGTTTTTGGGGATTTCTTGGGATTTATTAAAGTTTGCAAATGATCCTTGTACTTGTGGAGGATTTATGAAAATTATACTCAACAGCAAGAGGTCTGACAGCGTTTTTTATACATACATATAATAAAATAGACAAAGGAACACTGAACGAAAAAAATAGTAAAAATAAAGACATCAATATTTAAATTAAATAT